TCACGACCTATCCATGACCCCATAGATCAGCAAGCGCTTCAAGATGATGTCAATGCTCTTGCGGACTGGTGTGACAGAAACAAAATGAGTCTGAATACCTCCAAAACCAAAGTCATGAGAATATCCTGGAAAAGGCAACCGGGCCAACCGCAGTACTATCTGAATGATATACAACTGGAGGAGGTTACTGAAACCAAGTACTTGGGTGGCATCATAAACAATCGCATGTCTTGGGATAGCCATGTTGGGTATGTCGTCTCTCGAGCAAATCGCTTACTTGGACTGATAACTAGCCTAGCCATGGATCTTTCATCAGTGGCTGTGTTCAGCTTGTACAAGAGTCTGGTCCTCCCAATCCTGGAATATGGTCTTCCTGTCTGGACACCACACAAAGTAGGATCGATCAACAGACTTGAGTCAATACAGCGCAGGGCAACACGTCTTGCCTTGAAGCAACGGTGAGGCCAAATGCCCTATCAGGAACGCCTACAAGTGCTTAATTGGAATTCTCTCAAGTTGAGAAGGACTTACTGTACAATGGCCTCCATTACTAAGTGTCTGTTCAAACACATTCAATGCCCTGTTGTGAACTCTCTCATTGTAGTGAACCCACGTCATTTAGAAGACCTGAAGTTCAGGCATCTCTTTGCACGCAAAGATGGACTGCATTTCAGTGCAATACATGAGTTCCCCAGGCTGTGGGACACTCTACCTTCTGAACTCAGGAACTTACTGTGTTTTTTCCACATGGTGCAGTCACTTAAAATCCCATCTTGCCGATGCACCTTGAGTTTGATATGACAATGTTGGTTAATATATTTATGCAATTTATCTGAATTTTAATTATTTATTGATTCCAGTTAATGGTATTTATCTATATTTTTATACACATTAATATTTCTGTAGGGGGAAAGTAAAATGTTATTATAAAGGCACCATTAAATTTGAATGTTCACTCTCAGTTGAATCATTACTTAAATTTCCAATACTATTATGAAATCTCAGATATTTAGCTCAGCATGTTTTGTAATAATACATGTATATTTTAATAAGCTGGCCTGCCAACATGCCACAGCAGTTTTTACTCATAAATTGTTAATACTTATTTTCCATAGATTTCAACTGAACTTAATAATTTACTATTCACTTGGTAAATAGATTATTGGATGACCTTTATCAGCTTATGGTTCTACATGTATATTCACTATTCAGTGATTTTAACCTCGACTGAGTTGATTCTTCCAACTTTCATGCAATTTTCCTTTAATTACACGTATATGCATTTTCTTTATTTGTGCAATATTATCACTGTTGTAATGCCACATTTTGCATGTTTTTTAATATATGTATTATGTTTAATGTATGTATAGGTCCATATGATTTTCTAGGGTTGCATCACACTCCGGATACAAAATTTCCCCTTATAATTCATATTGTGCCACTTTTTTCTGCTGGTATGGTCATGAGTCTCTGGCGTGTGATGGAACCCTGGGGAAATTTGAAGTTTTTGTCTTGATGCATTTTAATTATTTGAATGTGGTACATGTATCTCTTATATTGTCCTTGTCACATAAATCAGCAACGCTGGTTGCATCTGGTTGGGATATAGGTGAGGGCGGTCTGCGGACTATAGTTATTTGGTTAACTTTGCCCATTGCCTGGCAGCACAGCCAGGTGCACCCAGTGTTCCTTTTTTGTGTGTGATTTGCTATTAATTGTTTATTTCAACTCTGTATTTTGATATCATGTGTTTTCTGCCAAATAAAATAATAATAATAATAATAGATAATGATAAAATCAACTTTGAAAATAAGTTGAACAAAAACATGGAAATACGTTAACTGAATATAATATTACACAAAAGAACAACTGTTCATTGATGATAATTGTAAGCATTGTATGGTAATGGAGTCAAACAACGTGACAAAACTACTGAATCATAATAGATAATGATAAAATCAACTATGAAAATAAGTTAAACAAAAAAATGGGAATACATTAACTGAATGTAATATTACACAAAAGAACAACAGTTCATTAATGATAGTCGTAAGCATTGTATGATAATGGAGTCAAGTAACATGACAAAAACTGAATAGATAATAATTAAAGCAACTATGAAAATAAATTAAACCAAATAATAGGAATATATTAACTGAATATAATATTGCAGAAAAAAAACAACAGTTAATTAATGATAATTGTAAGCATTGTAAAATGGAGTCAAGTAACATGATGCAAACTGAATCATTATAGATAATGATAAAAATCAACTATGCAGACGAACACCGTATCATGTGAGATTTTCTTTTAGAGCTCTCTTAAAGACTGCTAGGCTCTGTGCTTCTTTAAGTTCAAGTGGAAGTTCATTCCAAATTTTACTCCCTGAATAAATGAATGACTTCCTGTAAAATTCTGTTTTACATTTTGGCAATCGCAACATCTTCTCATCTGTGTTGCGAGTTATTCGTTTTGGAAATATTAAAATTCTATTTACACATTTATACATTAAACAGCACATTGTTTTCCAGAACAACTTATCAAGAGTTTGGTTTTGATTTGTGTTTTATTAACTAAATCTCAATGTACCATAATATGGAGATGATCTTTAAATCTTTATGCCCATCATCTTTCAATCCTTAAAGAAATATATGAGTCTAGTCAAACAATAAATCGTCATCACAGTATGAACAATGTGGTATAGCAGTATACGAAGAAATCTTAAATTCAAATCTAATATCTTAACAACATGATTATATCAAAAATAATATCGCTAGTGACATTCGGTTGTCTCGCAATGTATGGTCAACATGGGATTTTTGATCGCTGCTACACATCGTCAGGTGATATTGTAAGCAGGGCTCAAATTAATTTTTTGTCCACGGGGGCTCTTCCCCCCCCCCTAAAAAAAGAGCCCCCGTGAGCCTTCTCACGGGGGCTCTTTTAGTACTGACGGGGCTCTTATTTTAATACAAATTTCCATTGAATTGGTACCCATGAAATTCCTAAATTCCTTGTTTTTTTATCATTATCATTCATCGTCCACGAGCCGCGTGGCGGCGAGGCGATTTTTGTTGTTGCTATTTTGAACCCCCGTAAGACAGTGACGTTTTCCTGACATCTACTAACATGCGGAACTTAGTCTACGCGCCGCGAAGCGGTGAGGCGATTTTTTGGTGCATTTTTGGACCCCCGTAAGTGATATTTTCCTGGCATCTACTAACGTGCGGAGCTTTTTTTTGGTGCAATTTTGAACCCCCGTAAGTGATGCTTTCCTGGCATCTAATGACATCTATACTGTGTAGGTCTGGACACAATGATGGCATTTTTCTATGCACATCACATTTTCACTTGGCAGCCCAAGGGGGAGGGGGGGGGTAGGAGGGTTTACCGCCTTGATCCGCCCCTGCAACATCTTTGGTCTTGTTCTTCTTCTCGATATTGATTTACTGGTCGAGGTACATAATTTGCTGGTCTTTTAGAGTCACCAGATTTCAGAGGATTCACACTTTTCACAACGAAATACGTCTGCATATTTCAGTCTTTGCGTGATCGTCTCCAGCTCCAGCAGATATTGGGCGTCAGCGTGCAAACCTGTACTACCGGCGCAGTATAGCCACTGCTGACGGCCGCACAATATAGTGCGAGCTTCCGTTTTTTCTGTATCGGTAATACTCATAGAGATGGGAGAGATAGCGCCATCTAAGTTCCATTTCATTTGTTTCAGGTTTGTTTGTTTCAGTATTGATACTCAATATTGTGTTAAAGTTATATCAGAAAAGATAATCTTTATTTTATATTTCCACGGGGGCGATTTTCAATTTCGCAATCGCCCCCGTGAGCAACCTGACGGGGGCGATTATGGAGCTCACGGGGGCGAATCGCCCACCGCCCCCGTGTATTTTGAGCGTTGATTGTAAGCAAGCGTATTGTATACTTCACGGGTGGACTGGCAGTCAAATTCGATCAATATTCACAACAATAACGGATATTGCGAGACAAACGAACGTCACTAGCGATATTATTTTGTTGATACTATATCCGAAATGAGTAATACAATAGCAACATGATATACATAAGAACGCGAACGGGTGCGCTCTAGGCGTTGAAAAGGCGTCTTTGTTTAAACAGGAAGCTGTAATGAATGGAGATCCCGTCCAAGAGGCCCCTTTGAAGCCATCCGTGGCACCAGGCGTCTTTTGCCCCCCCCCCTACCGTAATCCCCTTAATCCCTCTCCGAGACCATACAGCTCCCTAGTGGCTCTAAATCCTCCCGTTCCACCTACAGCCCATGCCAGCGAGCACGGCGGCTTTTGCGTTGTCGGCCCGTAATTGAGGTGAAAAGTGGTGATGAATTGACAACTTCAAACCATCGTCCAATAAATGCGCAAACATATAACACAATTTTAGGGAGATAAACCTTTGGACTACCTTCCTACCTATATACAAATTTCGGAAATTTTCGATAATGATTTTACACATGTTATGTACATGCGCAGAAGATAATAAGTCGCTTAAATCATGAAAAATCGATGTGCAGTTCTGGTCTATAATCGGAAATTGTTCTTCCCTGTACTGTTTTTTTTTTAATTTTTTTTTTATAAACATGTTGATATTACCTGATAGAGGTTATATTTGAATTGGTTGTGATTTAAAATCCCGTTTCCCCCAATTTCCTCATAATATAACAAAGTTACAACGCACAGGGCTTATAAAGATCATGGCCTTCTAATTGTTTTATAAGTGCATGGGCGTGTGCGAAAACGTGCGAATTAGTAATAATACATTTCATATCACCAAACTCGTCTGCTTTACAACTTTGCTGCGAATGTATTAGCCCGGGCACCGACGACCTAAACGAGCGTTCGCCGTCGAGCGATTTAGGTTAAAAATCGAAGCCGCTAGGTAAAAGCCTGTCGCGTCGTCGCCGCCCAGGCGCCACCCGGTCGCCGCTGGGAGATCAGTCGGTCACTGGGCGGCGAGTCCAATTTCAATTGGCAGCCTTTGACCTAGCGGCTTCGATTTTTGACCTAAATCGCTCGACAGCGAACGCTCGATTAGATCGCTACCCAGGCGGCGATCTCCCGGGCACCGAGCGTATGTTGGTGCCCCGCCGTTCACCGGCCGGCCGCCGGGTAATTTTCTTAAAGGTAATACAAAGTTTTGGGCAATTTTGAAAAATGAATGGATAGTGATTCTTTACGATTTTGATATATTTGGATGCCCCTGTGGATGTATTATAAGCACTAGAAAATTTAGCCCCTAAAACACTTCTGCTCTCGAGAAAAATTGAATATAAAAATTTACCGGTGCTCCCGGTAAATTTTGATAAATTTCAAATAGCGCCTACGGCCGTTTAATGTTAGATGCGACCGTGAAAATCTCAGAATATGTAGTTGTGATATATAATTTCCAAATGGGAATAGCTTATCGGTCGATTTTAGTCGAGAAACATTTTTGTATAGCTTAATTG